ACCCCACAGGGGAGAGCTTCACTCTTAATCTGCACAACAGAGTGAAATTGGAAATTGGGTTCATGCTGATAGAAAAAAATGAAAGTAGACTACATCCCTGACCCCAGACACCAGGTCAATCCTAAAGAAGGCTAACAAGATGCCTTGAGTCTCCTTCCCAAGAGCAACATCAGCAGAAGAAAGGGATAGGCTGTGAGGACCAGCAGCTGGTACAGGCGATTCAGAATAGCTCTAGAAGATACAAAGTAGCCAGAACAGAAGTGCCGAGGTGCACCTTCCCAGGTGAAGCTAGCCTGTGCTCTATCGACCAGGGTATCAGAGATTCCTGTGACAAGTCCATAGCCTCCCTAGGCCAGGCCACCCCTCCCCCACAGGCTGTCCCTCTGGGGCCTGCCTGCCAGGACTGACTTCTGATCCTGAAACTTCTGCTGGGGACATACCTGACTGCAGAGCCTCATGAGAGATACCTGAAGAAGGGAGACAGAAGGATTAGGGGAGCTGCCCATGAGAGTGACTCTGGTCCCCTGGACCTAAGCATTGTCCCCCCGTGTCCCAAGGTGGTCCTAAGGTGAATTTCCCGCCCTGACCTGAGCAGCTAAAGCTGGGATCTATCCAGATAGATGGAGTCCAGCCAGGTAGATGTGGCCTGGTCAGCTGCCATCCCAATACCGGGTAGAATGGGACTAGCAATGGGCCATAAATAACAGCTGAGGAGACCCTGAATACTGTCCCAGCCTTAGCCCCTCACAATCTCTAGGTCCTCCTGAGGAGGGCCGTGCCAGGGTCTGGTATAGGTGTCCCCCACACCCACACCCCAAGCCTCTGTCCCCAGCAATGATGGCCAAGCTACCCAACTGAGGGGTCCAGGCAGAACAAAGACCCATCATGAAGAACTTGGCTTTTGCCCACCTAAGTTCTGATTTCAAGGTCCCCAGCTCCCTCTACAGGGCTCCCAACTCTCTCAGAGCTCCAACCCAGGGAATGGTGGAAAATGAGGGGGAATCAGGAGGAGGTCCAGAGAGGAAGCAGGCCCACTCCTACTCCAGAGCAGGGTATAAACAATGCCACACAGATCCCAAGCCAGCTCACTCACCAGGAACAGCCAGAAGCAGTAGGAAGCCACAGGGCCCCAGAGCCATGGTGTCTGCCCACAACAGAGACAGGACCACCCTCCCCCGCTCAACCCAGGGCCTGTCAGCACAGGGTGGGGCAGGAAGCGCCTCACACCTGCTGTAGAGCTGGAGGGAGAAGGATACAGGCTCCCCACCTGATCCTGTTGTATACTTCAGGGAGGGGCTACCACCCACATTTGTCTCACATGAAGGCTACACCCCGCCTTGTCAGCGAGGGACAAGTTCAAGGACACAGAAAATAACAGCAACAGAATGGGGCCCAGCTGTCCTCACCACAGCCTGAGCTTCTCTTCCCCAGTGTGGAGAGGAGGCAGTGCAGCCTTGGTTCCTGCAGAGCCTGCTTCTCCCATTCTCCAGCTTTTTAACCTCCAAGGCTCCTCAGAGAGGCCCAGTCCTCTATGATGACACACCCACCTCCTGTGTCCCTGTTCTCATGTCCAGCCCTGAGCCCTAACTCTGCCCCAGATAAATAGATCCTGTGCTTCTGATTTGTCAGGAGCTAATGGTCAGCTGACCAGGGGTGTGGCCAGAGTCAGGAACTTCTCCCAGCTCCAAATCACAGGCCAGGATCGGAGGGTCTCACTGATAACTCTTTGGGTCAGGAATCCCCAGTCAGATGTGGGGAAACTGACGATAGAGGGAGGCTCATTCCTCCTTCAGGATCTGACATCGCAGGGCAAATTGTGCCTGCTTCATGCCCACCTGTCTACAGCTCATCAAGCATATGTGACGAATGTTTGACCTAGTGTCAAACAAGGTCACTGTCAGCCCACCCTGTGTGACTGGCCTCCCTCGGGAAGCTGCATGCCGAAGAGGGAACCGTTGGGGACATTGGACCTGCCTGTCAGTTCATCCCAACATAGCAGGCAATGGAGGGAAGGGAGCCACATGTTCTTACAAGCCACCCCAGTCAACCCAAGAGCCTGGTGTCACTCAGGTTCTTGCAGAATCAGATCCTCTGAGTCTCGATCCTCTGAACTGTGCCCAGGTTCCCACAGGAGAGGACTTAAGTACCCTTACCTGTCCCACCTCCTTTTGCTTTTGGTATCTCCCCCTCTACACATGCCCTGTTACCTGGCTCCCTGCAGAGTCATCAACACTCTCATTCCAGGCCTGCTATTCGGACTAAAACCCCATCCACGCACGACAGGAGTGGGTTCTGTTAGCACCTTGTAGAGAAGCAAGGGGCCGGGCAGCCTGGCCCTGGAGACATTCACACACAGACATACAAACACACACGAGAGAGAGAGAGAGAGAGAGAGAGAGAGCTGCCAGAGTCTCCTGTAACTCTGACCCTAAGTAGAGCCAGAGCTGAGGGCTACGTCTGTCTAAAGTAGCCTGCTCTCCTGGCTACTGACCTCTGCCTGAGACAGAGGGTTTGGATCCTGAAAGCTCTCAGGCCTGACCCCTGGTGCCCATGGCGGGAAATGAAGTCAGGGATCACTTTTATCTGTCAACTGACTCCAAGCTGTGCTGAGCTGCTCTGCCAGGGTCAGATAATAAGAAAGCCCAGCAGGAATCCAGGCTGCTCTCCCTCCCACCTACCCATCTCCCTTTATTCCTGGCCCCTTGCCTGTCCCTAGATACCTCTCACTGGAGTCCTGGGCCATCTCCCTCCCTGCATGGCCTCCACTAAAGGATGGCTAAATGCACTTATCAGAATGTCATCGCCCTCCAGCATCCACAGTGACCCCGAGAGAGTGAGATGGAGAGAATGGAGGGACAAGGGACTGAGTTCCAGCTTCACCTTTTATTTTTGTGGTGTGCATGTGTAATGTTTGACATAAAAACCTAAAACTAAGGAGCTGGAGAGATGGCTCATTGGCTAAGAATGTGACACACCCCCAACCACCAAGAGATGACATCAAGCACTGGATGAGACAACTGACTTCATTTCCCCACCAAGGACGAGGGCTCTACCCAAGAAAGGGAACAGTATGCCATCAGCAGTAATAAAAAACATGGATGTCACCCCCACACACACACATCAGATGTTACCTCCAATACAGAATACGGAATCAAGACAAGGGGATCAGAGAGGCAGTATTGCTGGCATATGATTGGGGAACATAAGTGACATTCCAACAAACAGGGAACGGGCACCCCAATGGGGCCCATTCCTGGGCCAACAGCTCCCTTCAGTTGAATGTCTCAGGTATAGGCGTTTGCGTGAGCAGAAACAGTCATGAACACCTAAGTCCTGAGAGCCTCAAATGAGAACGCCTCCAAGCAAAGTGCACCATAGCAACCAGATGTGCCACTGCACAAAATTATTATTCTTTTGGGATGGGTTCTCACAGTGCTAGAATGGTTTCAAACTCAATTTGTAGACAAGGATGACCTTGAATTCTTGGTCTGCCTCCACCTCCCCAGTGAGGGGATTGCAGGGTGTACTACCCACACCTGGCTTGTATGGTGGTGATGATCAAAATCAAGGTTTCCTGTGTGCTAGGCAAATCCTACCAAGTGTGCTGCATCCCACACCCCACCACAGGGGATTCTGGGCAGCAGAGGCAGTAACGGCATGGACTGTATGTAGAAGCGACGGAAAGGTCAGACTGCAAGAGTGTTGCTATCAGGGCAGTCATGCAGTCATCAGTGAGGCCAAGATGTCTCTTGTCACTGCAGGGTAAAGATCATAGAGCAATCCCTGAATGGGGAGGGGTATGATTGACTTTGTTTCTCAGCCCAGTTGCAGTGAGTCTGGCTTCCCTCTACATTAGTCTTTTAAGGTGTCCATTGTTGTAAGGAGAGCCACTTGTTTGTTCCTGACTGCTCAGCCCCGAAATAATCACACATTTAAAACACTACTTGGCCCATTAATTTTAGCTTCTTATTGGCTAACTCATACATATTAATTTAACCCATTTCTATTAATCTGTGTATTGTCACGAGGCTGTGGCTTACTGGGTAAAGTTCCAGCATCTGTGTCCAGCAGGGCTACATGGCTTCTCCTGACTCCACCTTCTTTTTCCCAGCATTCAGTTTTCCCTGCCTAGCTCTGCTCTACCCTATCACAGGTCCAAAACAGCTTTATTATTAACCAGTGGTATTCACAGCATACAGATGAGAATCCCACATCAGTCCCTGTTCTCCACCAATCTTAAGGACATTATGCCTCTCACGTCAAAGAAATGAGTTTGTGGGCAGGAAGGATGGCTCAGTGGGTAAAAGTGCTGGCCGTCAAAGCCTGACAATCTGAGTTCGATACTCAGAACCCGCATGAAGGTGGAAGGAAGGGAGAGGACTGCCTCCACAAAGTTGTCCTCCAGCCTACACGCATGTGCTGTGGCAAACACATGTATTAGACAAGCACATGTATTTGTTTGGTTTTTGTTTGTTGGTTTGTTTTTGTGGGTTTTTTTTTCAAGACAGGGTGTCTCTGTGTAGCCCTGGCTGTCCTGGAACTCTCTCTGCAGACACGGCTGACCTCAAACTCACAGTGATCCACCTGCCTGTGCCTCCCAAGTGCTGGGACTAAAGGCGTGGGTCACTAAGTCTGGAAAACAAATGTATGTTTGACATGTGTTTAAAATAACTTTTTAAAGTGAGCTTGTGTGGGAAGAGGTTAGTCTTGGGGACAGGTGCTGGCAAGGAGGCCCAACCCCACTACCATATGCTGAATCCTGTGACTAGGACCCCATAGTAAGTGCATCACAGCCTTGCCAAGGTACTCCATGTGCCCCCGGTGACACCTACAACGAGAGCAGCACCCCATAGCTGTTTCCAGGTACTTTAATGAGCTACAGAGGAGGGTGAATATCCAGTGTGGCTACCTGGGGTGGGAAGCAGAAGGGATAGAAGTGGCCAGGGGCCCAGAGGGACAGGGGAGGCAGAAGAACAAGAAGTCAGGGGTTCTACCTGGGCAGGAAGCAGCAAGTTAAAGACAGCAGAGGCCTGGTTCTTTTCTGACCCTGGAAGCAGCTCAGGAGTCCTCAGGGACCTAGCGGTGGATCCATTCCAGATGTAGATCCTAGGATGGTGACCTCACCCCAGCTGACCACACCTGCTTGCAGCCAGACACCCTTCGTTTTGCAGACTAGTGACCCCACTGAGTCACCCTGGAGAAGATAGGGGTTAGCACTCCATGTGGAGATTGGATGAGACGGGGTGCAGGGGCGGGGGACACAGGACCCACCTGGCAGGAGTCTCTCCCAGTATTTCGAGCACACAGCATGTCATCACGGACAATGAGAACATTGTCCCCTGTGTAGAGGCCAGTGTGATACTTCCAATCACTAAGATCATTTTCCACAGTGGGCACCTTCACTTGGGAGAGACTCTGGAATGAGAGAAGTACAACTTTTGGGGGAGGTTCATCAGCAACCATCCCTGGTCATCCCTGAGAATCCCTGCCCACCCACCTCCAACTAACTGGCAGCCATCCCTAGCCTTGACACCATTATCAATATCTCCCCAGCCTGTCACCCAGCATGATGTCCCTGAGGAGAAGGTCTCCACAGCAAGGGCCGGGATATGGGCTGGGCATGGGTGGAAACATTCACAGGGCAATGTCTGCCCCACCCTCGGCCGAGAAATAGTTGGGGTGCATAATGATCTGGTTCACAGGCAGCCGTTGGTCCTCATAGTATAGATGCTGCTCATGAAGCTGCACCTGGAAAAGCACTGGGCCTTGGATGTGCCTGGAAGAAAACAGTCCTGTTTGGAAGGCTCCAGCCTGGACCTGAACATTGAAGCTTCAGGAACACTGTGTACCATGGGAGAAATCCCGACCCCATCTCCCATGCCAGGCCCAGGGAGACTCACGGTCCCACACAATGTGCCACAATGAGCACCAATTGTGGGTGGATGAAGGAGCATCTGCAGAAATGTACCCAGTAGCTGAACTTAAATTGCAGGCTCACCTGCTAGGGCCACTGACTCTCAGAAGCCTGTGTCCTCCCATGATGTCCACTCACTGCTCAGCTGAGCCTGGTAAAGGACAAGGGGGCAGCCTCGGCACCCTGGCTTCATCCCCCCTGTAGTGGAGCAGCCTGTGGCCTGTGAAAGTCAGGGAGAAAGAGAGGGCACGACCGCACTCACGAGGGGAGGCCTGCAATAGGCTAGCCAGGAGGGACAGCACCAGCAGTACGGGCTCAGCATCTGGAAGTAGTGAGGAATTCAGCTTGAGTCCAGCTGCAAGACAGGGCTGGACTGGGGTTAGCGGAGTATCAAGTCCAGAATGGAGCCAGGGTCCGTGAAATGGAGGGTAGGTTTAGTCAAGGAATCTGGGGTCTGGTACTCCAGGTCACAAAGGTCACAAGCTTTGTGACTCTGCTTCAGGGTGATATGCAGTTGCCAGCGACTCTGGGAAAGGGCTTTACCTCGGCACCTCGGCAATCTCTGCCCATCTCTTCTCTTCCTGTTGTCCTCTGCCCTTTTATTTACCAGACCGGAGAGCACGAGAGGAGGGGCATGCCACTCTCCAATCCAGACATGAAGGAAATGATCAAAGGCCGCCATGTAACACATGCCCCCAGCACCCAGATGCTCTTCTGATGCCCACAAGTCACAGGATCGCGTACACAGCCAGAGGACCAGCGACACACCCTGCCTGCAGTCTTGGTGTGCATAGCCAGGCTACGGAAGGCAGAGTTCTGAGATCCAACTGCTCTCTGCTCAGGGTCCATCAGGTCTGCTCTTTGTACTGGGGATGCCAGGGCATGCCACCATGGGCAGAGCACTGCACCCCCGAGGGTCTCTCTCAGCTGAGTGCCCTACGGCACTGAGATGGCACCATTTCCAGCTGTTGAAATGAGGATCCTGTCCCCTGCCCAGGGATTCAGGGGAGGCCTCAAAAAAATTGCTAGCTCAGTGTCACCCTCTAATGACATATTGACATGCTCTAACACATCTCCCGAGAGGGATACAGGACAGGAGATACTGTCTGTGAGCCACCCCAAAAGGAACGAGGGTAACAGTGTTACTCGTCTTGTCCTCCAAGTTCTCGGGGTCAGGCTCAGTTTTCCTGAACAGTTTTAGGGAGAGGGTCACACAAGGCCCCTTGTCAGAATAGGAATCAGTCATGACAGGAAGCAGGATCAAGTCCCAGCCCACAGGGCCCTGCTGCCCCACCAGACCCAGCTCTACAGATAAACCCTGCAGTGTGAGCCGGCCCTTATCTACACAGCTTTCCTAATGTGGGAGGCTGCTTACTGGGCATCTGATAAAGCTCCTCATTTTATCGGACACTTCGTCCGCTGAGGGGCAACACATGCAGAGGACGGAGATCTAAGAAGAGGCTCCCAGCCTCCCCCCAGGAGACACGCCACCTTAGCCATCCCTGCACCTCTCCAGGGCTAGGGATGACCACTGTCCTGCATGCCCATCCACCCACCAGCGGGCTCCTCTGGTCTGCAGGTCAGGAATTTACAGCCTTCTCCTCACCATGAGCTCCCGTCCATCCCCAGCTTGGTCCCCACTACCACCTCCTGGGTTTCTCCGAGGACTGCCCCGCCCTCTTCTCTGCACACCCCAGAGGTGTGTATCAACTCGACTCCTTGAGCAACACAGGATAGGCTCCCTTTCTAACAAGACGTCCCCGGCACTCTCAAACAGGACACTAACAAGACTTAGCTTCAGGAATCCGGTTAGGGGAGAGGGTGTCCTAGGGACACACAGGAGGCTCCAAGCTAAAGGACCAATGGGGGTAGGGCCTGCATGGTACCACTGAATCAGGGGCTGTGGATCCTGATACTCCAAGGAATTCTGATTGGTTCAGGACCAAGAGATTAACCAGTGAGTAGCTAATGTAAGGGGGTGACTGTAGGGGCCCACAGGTGTAATCCCAGAGGATGGCTGGGGTCTGTGGTGGTGGCCCACAGGTGTAATTCCAGGAGGATGGTTAAGATCTGGACTACATAGTAAGATCCTGACTCAAAACAAAATTCAAAAAGAGCAAAGTTTAGCTGAGTAGTGGTAGTGCTCGCCTTTAATCTCAGCACTTAGGAGGCAAAGGCAGGCAGATCTCTGTGAGTTCAAGGCCAGCCTGGTCTACAGAGTGAGTTCCAGGACACAGAGAATCCTATCTTGAAAAAAAAAGGGAAAGAAGAAAGGAAGAAAGGAAGAAAAGAGAAAGAAAAAAAGAAGTAAGGAAGGAAGGGAAGGAAGGAATGAAGGAAAGAAAGAAGAAAGAGAGAGAGAGAGAGAGAGAGAGAGAGAGAGAGAGAGCAGGACTTTCTCAGCCTCGCAGATCTGAGAAAATGTGTTGCCAGTATCTCTGCTCCCCCGGAATTCCCTCAGAAAGAGGATGATAAGAGACCACACGATCTAGGACTGCATCAAGGATGTTCTAGAAACGAAAAAGTCTTTAAATGTGAACTTTCCAAACGTAACTGAAAATAATTGATGGTTTAAAGTAGCCACAAAACAAGACGATGTATTATCCTTACAGCTAGTGCTAGCAAATGGTGTTGACTTCTGAGTTTATTGTCCAGTTGCTGGTAAAGTGTGATTGTACGGTGATTTTGTGCATTGAAGTCTTGCTAAATTGTTTTGTTTTTCAAGACATGGTTTCTCTGTGTTACAGTTCTGGCTGTCCTGGAACTCACTCTGTAGACCAGGCTGACCTCAAGCCCACAGAGACCAGCCTGCCTCTGCCTCCCGAGTGCTGGGATTAAAAGTGTGCCCCACCACTGCCTGGCTGGTTGCTAAATTTGCTCATCACTGTATTTGCAGAGCCCTGAGGTTTGCCTATGCTACAAACATCTGAGTTCTCTGCAAAGCCTAGTTGGCTCCTAATGCCACAGTTCCCGGTGCCTCCAGAAGAGGGCATGCCAGACCAGGGAGGAAGCTGTGGAGTGCCCGCTGGGCCTACTGCCCAGGTGCAATGCTAAGCCACCTGACTTTTATGAGGTGACATTGAGCCCAGGCTATGCTAGGGACCTCACAGGGTTGTAATAGAACCCCTCTAGGGTGAGCAAGCATAAACTGGGTGACTTGTACTTAATCTAAGCCCGTCTTCCCCCACAGAGAGAAAGGACAGGACGACTGGGAGACTGCTGGAGTCTTAAACTTACCGAGTACGTGACCTTTGCCCTTCTCGTTGCTTGGAGGAGGGGCAGGAGGGTGATGTAGCCCAGCAGCCCAAAATGGGAAGGAAGTAGTAAACCTGGGTGATCTTTAGGGGAGAATTGTAACCAAGAGCTTGTAGTTCCCACAGTAGCTATAGAAACACAGATATGAGGTGTGAGCGTGTGAGCACGGATGTCATCCACGTGGTGTGCATTGTAGAACATTGTCCTGCCAGCATGACAGCCATCTTCATCAGAGCTGCTGTAACTCTTCCAAGAGTCTCCCAAGATCAGGTTTGACTATTGATTCCTTCATAGAAGAAGGGGATAGGGATGGTCACTGGACTCTATGGCCATTTACTTGTGTGCAGTTGTACCCTAAATGCACACAGTCTCATGGGCTGGGGGTATTGCAGGCTAACTGGGGGAGGGGGAATCTTCGTCCATGTCAAGGTGAGAATGTTAGATGGTGCGACTGCTTCGGGGTCACCCACCCTCCCGTAAGTAACCCCTTATCTATGTTCTGCGTGCTATTCCAAGACGCTCACTGGTTCCCCACATCTGACTTTGGTTTGTCATTAGTGCTCTGATAAGGAGGGGATTGGAGTTTGTTTACACTTCCCCAGAGAAAGAGTTTGCTTGACAGTATATGTGCCCGTGTGCTTTGCATCAGCACATGGATGTGTCTGTGTCTGTGCATTGTGTGAGCACACATACGTGCGTTCCCTAGCTCTGTCCCCTGAGAAGGAACAAGAGTGCAGACACTCCCAGAGTTACATACAGCACTCATCCCCAGATACGGGTTTCTAAATACATTTGCCAGTGAAAGGAGCTGCACTTCATGGAGACGTTTCTGGACCAAAGGAAATACAATGGGAGCCGGAAATTATGTTGCATAATTAGATCATGTAAAAGAGGTGGGAAGGGAGCCTAAAGACAGAAGCCAGCTAGCAGGAGGCCCCAGAGTCCCAGTCAGAACCCTGCATAGCAAATAGAAACTGGGGAAAAGAAATACGTGGAGATTCGTTGATTAAAACAGAAGACCGTGAGTTAATGTAGTTATAGGTAAGTAAATAAATGATTGAAATTCTGTTAAGAAATCAGCTCGAGTTTTGTCCTCTGCCCTAAGTGCACAGCTAGGTGCATGGTAATCAGAGAGGGAAGGGAAGACTTCGCCTGGGGAAGCTGAAGGCCCCGAATCAAACAGCAAAAACAAACACCAGGAGCTGAAATGGCGGGCATTTGCAAAGACATGGCTAGAATTCAGTCACAACTATAATGTTAACATCAGATGTCTGACTTCAGCCTAACTGTGAGAAATATCGGAAATCCCTGCTTGAGTAACATTCTATAAAATGCAATCCTCAGAAGCTTTGGGGTCAGAAAATCCCGGGAAATGGACTGACTAGTCCAGGGGTCTGGGTCAAGCCGGCGGGGATAGAGGAGAGGCCAAGTACACCCTGGAATTCTAGGCTGGCTCCTGCTTCCACGCTCCTGCTGAGGTGGTAGGCAAGTGCCAAACAATGCCTGAGAATTCCGTGGTGACAGTATCTTTAGCTGTGTCCTGACTCAGGTGACTACAGGGCAGCACCATAGAAAAATTTCTAGAAACGATGCATTTATTCATTGTGTATGCCTGCAGGCCGGAAGAGGGCACCAGACCTCATTACAGGTGGTTGAGAGCCATTGTGTGGTTGCTGGGAATTGAACTCAGGCCCTCTGAAAGAGCAGCCAGCACTCTTAACCACTGAGCCATCTCTCCAGCTCAACATATCCCCCCGCTTTTTTTTTATTATTATTATTAACAAAGAGGAGTTGCCAGTGGAAATCTGAAGGGCTGTCACACAGTCCAAACTCTTAAGTGGTCCAGAAATAAAATTCTTTGGACCAGACACGTGGCTTTTCTGGAAGTTTGTGGCTATATCAAATTGTATGTATGCATGTTTATATGTATGTAAGTGAAGATGTACATATATGTACATGTGTCATCCCTCAAGCACTGTCTACTTTTTTTTTTTTTTTTGAGACCAAGTTGCTCACTGGATCAGAGCTCACCAAGTAGGCTAAGTAGACTGGCTGGCCAGCAATCCCTAGGCATCCTCCCGTGTCCCCTTCCCCAGCACTGGGATTACAAGGGCGTATCATCACACAGTTTTTTGTGGGGGCATCATGGGGATCATACTCCAGGTCCTCATGCCTGCTCAGAGAGCCCTTGATTAGCTGAGCCCTCTCCCCAGCTTTCCTGATGCTAAACATCCCCCATGAATGGAGTCAAAAAACAAATGTGTGCATGACCCTGTGTGCTTGACTTCTTTCACTTAACACAGTGCTGTCAAATTCACGATGTTCTCGAAGGAACTAGTGCTTCCTTCTTCTGCGACCACCAGTTGTTTAGTGTGTGACTGCCCCTCACCGTTCATCCGTTTCGCCTGCGGTTTCCAGTTAGGAGCTTCTGCCTTTGGCTATTCTGAGTAGTTCTGCTGTGAACGTTGTCTTTCTGCGTTTGAATGGTGTCCTCCACTTGACCACCAGACCAGCTCCACTGAGGTGTGAGGTTCAAGTCTATGATGGCTAATCATTGGTGTTAACGTGACTGGATTTTGAATCTCCTGATGACATGCGTGTGGGCAAGTCTGTGAGGGTGTATCCAGAGTGGTTTAAATGAAGAGGAAAGAAATCCTCTTATCCTGAATGTGGACGACACCATCCCAGAGATAGGGGCCTGGGCTGCACAGAAAAGCGGAAAGTTGGGAGACAGCTGAGCCCCGGTCCTCCCCATCCCCTCTGCTTCCTGGTTGCACGTGCCGTGTGACTAACCACCTCCACTCCTGCCACCATGCTTCTCCACCATCAGGAACTGTGTCCCTTCTCAAATCGTGACGCAAAACCAATCTTCTCTTCGATTGCTTCTGTGGGTATTTTATCACAGGAACGAGAAAGCCATTAGTACAGGGGCTTGCTAATCTCGAACTCACAGAGTTCCACCTGCCTCTGTCCTCAAGGTGTTAGGATTTA